AAACTACGAAGGCCGATTTCGAGGGCCCAAACTACATTTTTTCACCAAAATAACTCATAAGTCGTGGCTTATAGCTATGAGTTTTGGTTGTTGGTCCGTTTCGTATAGACCCAGGTCCAAATAGACTCAAACCTAGCCCGACAGCTTTTCCATCGCTTTTATCACACTCATACCGTTTCACGTATTCCAACACTAGTTGGCCCGTATCTTCTGACAAACTATGATGGCGCATTTCGAGAGCCCAAATGACGTTTTTTCACCAAAATAACTTATAAGTCATGGCTTATAGCTATGAGTTTTGGTCGTTGGCTCATTTTCGTAGAACTAGGTCCAAACAAATCTCAAACCTAGCCTTACAAGCTTTTTCATCGCTTTTATCACACCGATATCGTTTCACGTATTCCAACTCTAGTTAGCCCGTACCTTCTTTACAAACTATGAAGACTAATTTTGAGAGCCCAAACTACATTTTTTCACCAAAATAACTCGTAAGTCACGACTTAGAGCGATGAGCTTTGTCGTTGGCCCGTTTCGCATCAAAGTAGGTCCAAACCGCTCCAACCTAGCCCTACAGTTGTTTCATCATTTTTTATCGCTCTCATACTCGTTTCACGTATTCCAAGTCCAACTTGGCCCATATCTTCTTAAGAAACTACGAAGGCCGATTTCGAGGGCCCAAACTATATTCTTTCACCAAAGTAACTCATAAGTCGTGGCTTATAGCTATGAGTTTTGGTTGTCGGTCCGTTTCGTATAGACTCTAGGTCCAAACAAATTTCAAACCTAGCCCGACAGCTTTTCCATAAGTTTTTATCACACTCACACCGTTTCACGTATTTCAACTCTAGCTTGGCCCGTATCTTCGACAAACTATGAAGGAAGATTTTGAGAGCCCAAACGACGTTTTTTCACCAAAATAACTCATAAGTCATGGCTTATAGCTACGAGTTTTTGTCGTTGGCCCGTTTTCGATAGAACTAGGTCCAAACAGACTCAAACCTAGCCTTACAAGCTTTTTTCATCGCTTTTATCACACCGATATCGTTTCACGTATTCCAACTCCAGCTAGCCCGTACCTTCTTTACAAACTACGAAGACTAATTTTGAGAGCCCAAACTACATTTTTTCACCAAAATAACTCGTAAGTCACAGCCTAGAGCGATGAGCTTTTGTCGTTGGCCCGTTTCGCATCGAAGTAGGTCCAAACTCGCTCCAACCTAACCCGATAGTGTTTCGTCGCTTTTATCGCTCTCATACCGTTTCACGTATTCTAAGTCCAATTGGGACATATCTTCTTAAAAAACTATGAAGGCCGATTTTAAGGGAACAAACTACATTTTTTCACCAAAATAACTCATAAGTCGAGGCTTATAGCTATGAGTTTTGGTTGTTGGCCCGTTTCGTATAGACCTAGGTCCAAACAAACTTCAAACCTAGCCTCGACAGCTTTTCCATCAGCTTTTATCACACTCATACCGTTTCACGTATTCCAACTCTAGCTTGGCCCGTATCTTCTCGACAAACTATGAAGGAAGATTTTGAGAGCCCAAACGACGTTTTTTCACCAAAATAACTCATAAGTCATGGCTTATAGCTATGAGTTTTGGTCGTTAGCCCGTTTCCGTAGAACTAGGTCCAAACAAACCTCAAACCTAGCCTCACAGCTTTTTCATCGCTTTTATTACACCGATATCGTTTCACGTATTCCAACTCCAGCTAGCCCGTACCTTCTTTACAAACTATGAAGACCGATTTTGAGAGCCCAAACTACATTTTTTCACCAAAATAACACGTAAGTCACGGCTAGAGCGATGAACTTTTGTCGTTGGCCCGTTTCGCATCGAAGTAGGTCCAAACCGCTCCAACCTAACCCGACAAGTTGTTTCGTCGCTTTTATCGCTCTCATACCCTTTCACGTATTCTAAGTCCAATTGGCCCATATCATCTTAAAAAACTATGAAGGCCGATTTCGAGGGCCCAAACTACATTTTTTCACCAAAATAACTCATAAGTCATGGCTTATAGCTATGAGTTTTGGTTGTTGGCCCGTTTCGTATAGACCTAGGTCCAAACAAACTTCAAACCTAGCCTCGACAGCTTTTCCATCGCTTTTATCACACTCATACCGTTTCACGTATTCCAACTCTAGCTTGGCCCGTATCTTCGACAAACTATGAAGGAAGATTTCGAGAGCCCAAACGACGTTTTTTCACCAAAATAACTCATAAGTCATGGCTTATAGCTATGAGTTTTGGTCGTTAGCCCGTTTCCGTAGAACTAGGTCCAAACAAACCTCAAACCTAGCCTTACAAGCTTTTTTCATCGCTTTTATCACACCGATATCGTTTCACGTATTCCAACTCCAGCTAGCCCGTACCTTCTTTACAAACTATGAAGACCGATTTTGAGAGCCCAAACTACATTTTTTCACCAAAATAACACGTAAGTCACGGCTAGAGCGATGAACTTTTGTCGTTGGCCCGTTTCGCATCGAAGTAGGTCCAAACTCGCTCCAACCTAACCCGACAAGTTGTTTCGTCGCTTTTATCGCTCTCATACCGTTTCACATATTCTAAGTCCAATTGGCACATATCTTCTTAAAAAACTATCAAGGCCGATTTTAAGGGCCCAAACTACATTTTTTCACCAAAATAACTCATAAGTCGTGGCTTATAGCTATGAGTTTTGGTTGTCGGCCCGTTTCGTATAGACTTAGGTCCAAACAAACTTCAAACCTAGCTTCGACAGCTTTTCCATCAGCTTTTATCTCACTCATACCGTTTCACGTATTCCAACTCTAGCTTGGCCCGTATCTTCTTGACAAACTATGAAGGAAGATTTTGAGAGCCCAAACGACGTTTTTTCACCAAAATAACTCATAAGTCATGGCTTATAGCTACGAGTTTTGGTCGTTAGCCCGTTTCCGTAGAACTAGGTCCAAACAAATCTCAAACCTAGCCTTACAGCTTTTTCATTAGTTTTTATCACACCGATATCGTTTCACGTATTCCAACTCCAGCTTAGCCCGTACCTTCTTTACAAACTATGAAGACCGATTTTGATAGCCCAAACTACATTTTTTCACCAAAATAACACGTAAGTCACGGCCAGAGCGATGAGCTTTTGTCGTTGGCCCGTTTCGCATCGAAGTAGGTCCAAACTCGCTCCAACCTAACCCGACAAGATGTTTCGTCGCTTTTATCGCTCTCATACCCTTTCACGTATTCTAAGTCCAATTGGCCCATATCATCTTAAAAAACTATGAAGGCCGATTTCGAGGGCCCAAACTACATTTTTTCACCAAAATAACTCATAAGTCGTGGCTTATAGCTATGAGTTTCGGTTGTCGGTCCGTTTCGTATAGTACCCAGGTCCAAATAGACTCAAACCTAGCCTCGACAGCTTTTCCATCGCTTTTATCACACTCATACCGTTTCACGTATTCCAACTCTAGCTTGGCCCGTATCTTCTGACAAACTATGAAGGCAGCATTTCGAGAGCCCAAATGACGTTTTTTCACCAAAATAACTTATAAGTCATGGCTTATAGCTATGAGTTTTGGTCGTTGGCTCATTTTCGTAGAACTAGGTCCAAACAAATCTCAAACCTAGCCTTACAAGCTTTTTCATCGCTTTTATCACACCGATATCGTTTCACGTATTCCAACTCTAGTTAGCCCGTACCTTCTTTACAAACTATGAAGACTAATTTTGAGAGCCCAAACTACATTTTTTCACCAAAATAACTCGTAAGTCACGACTTAGAGCGATGAGCTTTTGTCGTTGGCCCGTTTCGCATCAAAGTAGGTCCAAACCGCTCCAACCTAGCCCTATAGTTGTTTCATCATTTTTTATCGCTCTCATACCGTTTCACGTATTCCAAGTCCAAGCTTGGCCCATATCTTCTTAAGAAACTATGAAGGCCGATTTCGAGGGCCCAAACTATATTCTTTCACCAAAGTAACTCATAAGTCGTGGCTTATAGCTATGAGTTTCGGTTGTTGGCCCGTTTCGTATAGACTCTAGTCCAAACAAATTTCAAACCTAGCCTCGACAGCTTTTCCATAAGTTTTTATCACACTCACACCGTTTCACGTATTTCAACTCTAGCTTGGCCCGTATCTTCGACAAACTATGAAGGAAGATTTTGAGAGCCCAAACGACGTTTTTTCACCAAAATAACTCATAAGTCATGGCTTATAGCTATGAGTTTTTGTCGTTGGCCCGTTTTCGATAGTAACTAGGTCCAAACAAACTCAAACCTAGCCTTACAAGCTTTTTCATCGCTTTTATCACACCGATATCGTTTCACGTATTCCAACTCCAGCTAGCCCGTACCTTCTTTACAAACTATGAAGACTAATTTTGAGAGCCCAAACTACATTTTTTCACCAAAATAACTCGTAAGTCACAGCCTAGAGCGATGAGCTTTTGTCGTTGGCCCGTTTCGCATCGAAGTAGGTCCAAACTCGCTCCAACCTAACCCGACAAGTTGTTTCGTCGCTTTTATCGCTCTCATACCGTTTCACGTATTCTAAGTCCAATTGGGACATATCTTCTTAAAAACTATGAAGGCCGATTTTAAGGGAACAAACTACATTTTTTCACCAAAATAACTCATAAGTCGAGGCTTATAGCTATGAGTTTTGGTTGTTGGCCCGTTTCGTATAGACCTAGGTCCAAACATACTCAAACCTAGCCTCGACAGCTTTTCCATCAGCTTTTATCACACTCATACCGTTTCACGTATTCCAACTCTAGTTGGCCCGTATCTTCTCGACAAACTATGAAGGAAGATTTCGAGAGCCCAAACGACGTTTTTTCACCAAAATAACTCATAAGTCATGGCTTATAGCTATGAGTTTTGGTCGTTAGCCCGTTTCCGTAGAACTAGGTCCAAACAAACTTCAAACCTAGCCTCACAGCTTTTTCATCAGCTTTTATCACACCGATATCGTTTCACGTATTCCAACTCCAGCTAGCCCGTACCTTCTTTACAAACTATGAAGACCGATTTCGAGAGCCCAAACTACATTTTTTCACCAAAATAACACGTAAGTCACGGCTAGAGCGATGAACTTTTGTCGTTGGCCCGTTTCGCATCGAAGTAGGTCCAAACCGCTCCAACCTAACCCGACAAGTTGTTTCGTCGCTTTTATCGCTCTCATACCCTTTCACGTATTCTAAGTCCAATTGGCCCATATCATCTTAAAAAACTATGAAGGCCGATTTCGAGGGCCCAAACTACATTTTTTCACCAAAATAACTCATAAGTCATGGCTTATAGCTATGAGTTTCGGTTGTCGGTCCGTTTCGTATAGACTCTAGGTCCAAACAAATCTCAAACCTAGCCTCGACAGCTTTTCCATCGCTTTTATCACACTCATACCGTTTCACGTATTCCAACTCTAGCTTGGCCCGTATCTTCGACAAACTATGAAGGAAGATTTCGAGAGCCCAAACGACGTTTTTTCACCAAAATAACTCATAAGTCATGGCTTATAGCTATGAGTTTTGGTCGTTAGCCCGTTTCCGTAGAACTAGGTCCAAACAAATCTCAAACCTAGCCTTACAAGCTTTTTCATCGCTTTTATCACACCGATATCGTTTCACGTATTCCAACTCCAGCTAGCCCGTACCTTCTTTACAAACTACGAAGACCGATTTTGAGAGCCCAAACTACATTTTTTCACCAAAATAACACGTAAGTCACGGCTAGAGCGATGAACTTTTGTCGTTGGCCCGTTTCGCATCGAAGTAGGTCCAAACTACTCCAACCTAACCCGACAAGTTGTTTCGTCGCTTTTATCGCTCTCATACCGTTTCACGTATTCTAAGTCCAATTGGCACATATCTTCTTAAGAAACTATGAAGGCCGATTTTAAGGGCCCAAACTACATTTTTTCACCAAAATAACTCATAAGTCGTGGCTTATAGCTATGAGTTTTGGTTGTCGGTCCGTTTCGTATAGACTTAGGTCCAAACAAACTTCAAACCTAGCTTCGACAGCTTTTTCCATCGCTTTTATCTCACTCATACCGTTTCACGTATTCCAATTCTAGCTTGGCCCGTATCTTCTTGACAAACTATGAAGGAAGATTTTGAGAGCCCAAACGACGTTTTTTCACCAAAATAACTCATAAGTCATGGCTTATAGCTACGAGTTTTGGTCGTTAGCCCGTTTTCGGTAGTAACTAGGTCCAAACAAATCTCAAACCTAGCCTTACAGCTTTTTCATCGCTTTATCACACCGATATCGTTTCACGTATTCCAACTCCAAGCTAGCCCGTACCTTCTTTACAAACTATGAAGACTAATTTTGAGAGCCCAAACTACATTTTTTCACCAAAATAACTCGTAAGTCACAGACTTAGAGCGATGAGCTTTTGTCGTTGGCCCGTTTCGCATCGAAGTATGTCAAAACTTCTCCAACCTAACCCGACAAGTTGTTTCGTCGCTTTTATCGCTCTCATACCGTTTCACGTATTCTAAGTCCAATTGGGACATATCTTCTTAAAAACTATGAAGGCCGATTTTAAGGGACCAAACTACATTTTTTCACCAAAATAACTCATAAGTCGTGGCTTATTGCTATGAGTTTTGGTTGTTGGTCCGTTTCGTATGTGACTCTAGGTCCAAACAAACCTCAAACCTAGCCCGACAGCTTTTCCATCGCTTTTATCACACTTATACCGTTTCACGTATTCCAACTCTAGCTTGGCCCGTATCTTCTTGACAAACTATGGAGGAAGATTTTGAGAGCCCAAACTACGTTTTTTCTCCAAAATAACTCAAAAGTCATGGCTTATAGCTATGAGTTTTGGTCGTTGGCCCGTTTTCGATAGTAACTAGGTCCAAACAAACCTTAAACCTAGCCTTACAGCTTTTTCATCGCTTTTATCACACCGATATCGTTTCACGTATTCCAACTCTAGCTAGCCCGTATCTCCTCGACAAACTATGAAGACCGATTTTTAGATCCCAAACAACCATTTTTCACCAAAATAACTCGTAAGTCAAAGCTTAGAGCGATGAGCTTTTGTCGTTGGCCCGTTTCGCATCGAACTAGGTCCAAACCGCTCCAACCTAGCCCTACAAGTTGTTTCATCGCTTTTATCGCTCTCATACCGTTTCACGTATTCAAAGTCCAAGCTTGGCCCATATCTTCTTAAAAACTTTGAAGGCCGATGTCGAGGGCCCAAACTATATTTTTTTACCAAAATAACTAATAAGTCGTGGCTTATAGCTATGAGTTTTGGTTGTTGGCCCGTTTCGTATAGACTCTAGGTCCAAACAAACTTCAAACCTAGCCCGACAAGCTTTTCCATCGCTTTTATCTCACTCATACCGTTTCACGTATTCCAACTCTAGTTGGCCCGTATCTTCTGACAAACTATGAAGGCAGATTTTGAGAGCCCAAATGACGTTTTTTCACCAAAATAACTCATAAGTCATGGCTTATAGCTATGAGTTTTGGTCGTTGGCTCATTTTCGTAGAACTAGGTCCAAATAAACTCAAACCTAGCCTTACAGCTTTTTCATCGCTTTTATCACACCGATATCGTTTCACGTATTCCAACTCCAGCTAGCCCGTACCTTCTTTACAAACTATGAAGACTAATTTTGAGAGCCCAAACTACATTTTTTCACCAAAATAACTCGTAAGTCACGACTTAGAGCGATGAGCTTTTGTCGTTGGCCCGTTTCGCATCAAAGTAGGTCCAAACTCGCTCCAACCTAGCCCTACAAGTTGTTTCATCATATTTTATCGCTCTCATACCGTTTCACGTATTCCAAGTCCAACTTGGCCCATATCTTCTTAAGAAACTATGAAGGCCGATTTCGAGGGCCCAAACTATATTCTTTCACCAAAGTAACTCATAAGTCGTGGCTTATAGCTATGAGTTTTGGTTGTTGGCCCGTTTCGCATAGACCTAGGTCCAAACAAATCTCAAACCTAGCCCGACAGCTTTTCTATAAGTTTTTATCACACTCACACCGTTTCACGTATTTCAACTCTAGCTTGGCCCGTATCTTCGACAAACTATGAAGGAAGATTTTGAGAGCCCAAACGACATTTTTTCACCAAAATAACTCATAAGTCATGGCTTATAGCTATGAGTTTTGTCGTTGGCCCGTTTTCGTGAGAACTAGGTCCAAACAAGCCTAAAACCTAGCCTTACAGCTTTTTCATCGCTTTTATCACACCGATATCGTTTCACGTATTCCAACCCCAGCTAGCCCGTATCTCCTCGACAAACTATGAAGACCGATTTCGAGATCCCAAACAACCGTTTTTCACCAAAATAACTCGTAAGTCAAGGCTTAGAGCGATGAGCTTTTGTCGTTGGCCCGTTTCGCATCGAACTAGGTCCAAACCGCTCCAACCTAGCCCTACAAGTTGTTTCATCGCTTTTATCGCTCTCATACCGTTTCACGTATTCAAAGTCCAACTTGGCCCATATCTTCTTAAAAACTTTCAAGGCCGATGTCGAGGGCCCAAACTATATTTTTTTACCAAAATAACTAATAAGTCGTGGCTTATAGCTATGAGTTTTGGTTGTCGGTCCGTTTCGTATAGACTCTAGTCCAAACATACTTCAAACCTAGCCCGACAGCTTTTCCATCAGCTTTTATCACACTCATACCGTTTCACGTATTCCAACTCTAGTTGGCCCGTATCTTCTTGACAAACTATGAAGGAAGATTTTGAGAGCCCAAACGACGTTTTTTCACCAAAATAACTCATAAGTCATGGCTTATAGCTACGAGTTTTGGTCGTTGGCCCGTTTTCGGTAGTAACTAGGTCCAAACAACCTCAAACCTAGCATTACAGCTTTTTTCATCGCTTTTATCACACCGATATCGTTTCACGTATTCCAACCCCGCTAGCCCGTATCTCCTCGACAAACTATGAAGATCGATTTTGAGATCCCAAACAACCGTTTTTCACCAAAATAACTCGTAAGTCAAGGCTTAGAGCGATGAGCTTTTGTCGTTGGCCCGTTTCGCATCGAACTAGGTCCAAACTCGCTCCAACCTAGCCCTCTACGTTGTTTCATCGCTTTTATCGCTCTCATACCGTTTCACGTATTCAAAGTCCAACTTGGCCCATGTCTTCTTAAAAACTTTGAAGGCCGATGTCGAGGGCCCAAACTATATTTTTTCACCAAAATAACTAATAAGTCGTGGCTTATAGCTATGAGTTTTGGTTGTTGGCCCGTTTCGTATAGACCTAGGTCCAAACAAATTTCAAACCTAGCTTCGACAGCTTTTTCTATCAGCTTTTATCACACTCATACCGTTTCACGTATTCCAACTCTAGTTGGCCCGTATCTTCTTGACAAACTACGAAGGCAGATTTTGAGAGCCCAAAGGACGTTTTTTCACCAAAATAACTCATAAGTCATGGCTTATAGCTACGAGTTTTGGTCGTTGGCCCGTTTTTGGTAGAACTAGGTCCAAACAAACTTCAAACCTAGCCTTACAGCTTTTTTCATCGCTTTTATCACACCGATATCGTTTCACGTATTCCAACCCCAGCTAGCCCGTATCTCCTCGACAAACTACGAAGACCGATTTCGAGATCCCAAACAACCGTTTTTCACCAAAATAACTCGTAAGTCACGGCTTAGAGCGATGAGCTTTTGTCGTTGGCCCGTTTCGCATCGAACTAGGTCCAAACCGCTCCAACCTAGCCCTACAAAGTTGTTTCGTCGCTTTTATCGCTCTCATACCGTTTCACGTATTCCAAGTCCAATTGGCCCATATCTTCTTAAAAACTACGAAGCGCCGATTTCGAGGGCCCGAACTATATTCTTTCACCAAAATAACTCATAAGTCGTGGCTCATAGCTATGAGTTTTGGTTGTTGGCCCGTTTCGTATAGACCTAGGTCCAAACAACTCAAACCTAGCCTCGACAGCTTTTCCATCGCTTTTATCACACTCATACCGTTTCACGTATTCCAACTCTAGCTTAGCCCGTATCTTTTTGACAAACTATTAAGGCAGATTTTGAGAGCCCAAACGACGTTTTTTCACCAAAATAACTCATAAGTCATGGCTTATAGCTATGAGTTTTGGTCGTTGGCCCATTTTCGTAGAACTAGGTCCAAACAACCTCTAACCTAGCCTTACACGCTTTTTTCATCGCTTTTATCACACCGATATCGTTTCACGTATTCCAACTCCAGCTAGCCCGTATCT